CATGAAAAGATGACCAATTGTAAATTCTTATCTCCTTCTCCAACATGCTGCCATTATCATTTAGCCCAGCCATTACTGCCGTTCATCCTCCTTTCTATTACATTTTTTTTGTTTCATCAACCGTTTAACAAGCCTATTCTCCTGGGCTACCCTTTACTTGACATGACACCTTTGCTTTCTGGACGTCCCACTCATAAGAATTGCATTAGGAGTGCTATGTTATTGTATTTCTAAACACTTGACATGACACCTATGCTTTCTGGACGCCCCACTCAAAAAAAATTGCACTAGGAGTGCCATGTTATTGTACTTCCAAAACAAACATGTGCTTAAGATGTATGAAGTTCAAGTTGGGACTTGGGACCCTGTGTCACATTTGACTAGAGGGAAACAAAGGGCCATTTGTTATGCAGATATGGCATGTGGTTGTCTTGGGTACATAGGTTTCATAGTGGAATATGTCAATATCTGCCTCACAAGGCTGGATGTGACGCACTGGATATATCTACCCCCCCCCCCTCCCCCTCCCACTCTTTCAAACTGAAGCTGGCAGCCAATGCAGCATAGTCAATTTTCTCAACAAATGAGCTCTATTTTCGGCGTCAATCACTAGAAACATCATTAAAAGCCAATAGGCAAGTTACGGTAATTTTGTTGTAGATGGTTGAAAAGAATGTGCATCATGATTTAGAAATTTTATTTACAGACTGGAGAAAGGTTCGTAACTTTTTTTTTTATCTTTTTGGCCTGTGCATTTTGTACTTCATATAGTTTTAAATCTACTCACAACTTTCATATCCTCATTGACAATACAGCCTTGACTGCTGTGCATTTCTATCTTGTCTGAATTTTTCCCCTAAAACCCTGAGTAGATGAACTTTTGCTTTGAAATCTAGAATTTTATGTGGATCAAAGTCTTCAATACTTGAACAGCGTACATTTCTGTGACATCGATGCTCTTGCGGGGAAGACTCTCATTTATGAAGCCTTATATTTCACAATTAATAGGCAACTAGCGTGTTTAACAGTAAACAAATTTTAAGAAGGTTTTGAGATTTCATTTTTGTTTAGTCCTACCTATGAAATATTGTTTGGGTATGTAAGACGGAGACCCGAGGGTGCACTGGTGCGAAGAGTGGGACCATGGAGGGGTTAAACGAGAGAAAGGGAGACCGAAAATGACTTGGTTGGAAGGAGTTTGGAAGGATATGAAGTATATGGATTTGCATGAGCATGAGACATTTGATCGTAAGGGATGGAGCAAGAAGATTTTTGTGGATGACTATACGGAATAATCATTTTTGGTTCATGTAGCCAACCCCACTTATGGGATTAAGGCTTTTGATTGATTGATTGGTAATCCTTTCTTCTTTCTTTTCTGCTTTTTTGTTTGTGATTGTCAGTTGGTGGTACTAACCTCTATTATGCTCTGAAGTATTCTGTCTCTTGACGTATTCCTTCGTTAATCTCAGGTGATTGAGAGTGATGTTCAACCTGGTGATCTATGCACTCGTCGTGAGTATGCCCGTTGGTTAGTTTCTGCAAGTAGTGCTCTTTCACGGTATGTGTGGGTTTTTAAATCCATTACTTTGTTTTACACTAATGTGCTTATGTGTGGTAAATGAGTTTCGGTTTTCCATTTTCAGAAACTTGATCTTGAAGGTCTATCCAGCTATGTATATAGAAAATGTTACCGAGCTTGCATTTGATGACATCACACCTGAAGATCCCGACTTCTCATTTATCCAAGGTATAATACTGTTATGTCAGTAAAAGATTTGAGTTATTGGGTTTAATGTACCATATTAAAGATTACTAATAAATCCCGTGTTCCAGGTTTGGCAGAAGCTGGACTTATATCGAGCAAGCTTTCTAGACGTGATATGCTTTCTTCTCCTGATGAAGATATAGGTTCCTTCTACTTCCATCCTGATAGGTGAATCTTCCATTTTCTACTAATAGGCAAGCTTTTGGGAGTCAAATGTGGTTTGCTCATTGTTAGTACGTAGTACATGATTGATTAAGTCCTTGGACCTTTGCTATTAATAGAGCCTATAGTGATAGAGGTCGACCTACAAAGGATTTGAGGGCAGTGATTAGGCAAGAGTGGACCCATCTAGAACTTGCTGAGAATAGATGCCTTGACATAAATCTGTGTTTGTGACTTCACTATTGATGTACTTATTAAGCTTTTAGAACTGCGTGTGGTATCTAGAATGATATTGAAATGCTGTGCAAAGGGGTAAGGCAATTCGAGGACTAATGTATCTAGAATCTTGCTCTAATTCACTAGGCCAACTTTTTGGCATTTTTAATTCTTAGAATGTTTGACAGCTTTTAAGTACAATTTTACTTGTGCTGATTGGTTAGAGTGGGATATTATGCTGGCTAATATCATGTGGACATTCTACCTCTGTTCTGTTTGCCCATAGTTGCTTTGAACTCGTTTTGCATGATGTCAAAACACAGTATACTTCAAATGGCCTAAATGTTATGTATTTTTCTTTATTTCTTTCTGCAGCCCTTTATCTCGTCAGGATCTTGTGACTTGGAAGATGGCCTTGGAAAAGAGGCAGCTACCAGAAGCTGACAGAAAGGTTAAGAATTTAATGTACTCCATATTTCTAATCATTTGCAAATATCCATATTTCTGATCATTTGCAAAATATTAATTTAATGAAACAACTAATGCCTTGTGCATTTTTCAATAGGCCCTGCACCAACTTTCTGGTTTCATAGACATTGACAGAATTGACCCAGATGCATGTCCTGCACTTGTGGCTGACTTATCTGCATCAGAGCAGGGGATTGTGGCACTTGCATTTGGTCGGTCTAATTCTTGTACCAATAGCGTAGTTGTTTATGTTTCTCCCAATGTTCTTGTAGCTTGGTGTTTGATGGACCACTAACGTGAAATTGCAGGCTACACGAGACTTTTCCAGCCAGACAAGCCAGTCACGAAAGGTCAAGCTGCAATTGCTCTTGCAAATGGGGAGGCGGCTGATTTAGTCAGCGAAGAGCTCGCTCGTATTGAAGCAGAATCTATTGCTGACAAAGCAGTTGCTACCCATAATGCATTGATGGCAGAAGTGGAAAAGGATATAAATGCGAATTTTGAGATGGAGCTCTTGATGGAAAAAGAAAAAATAGATGCTGTGCAGAAAATGGCTGAAGAAGCAATGCAAGAAGTGGAAAGGCTGAGAGAAGAGAGAGAAGAAAAAAATATTGCCCTAATGAAGGAACGGGCTACTTTGGATTCAGAAATGGAAGTTCTTTCAAAATTGAGACATGAGCTAGAGGAGCAGTTGCAAAGTGTCATGAGTAATAAGGTTGAGATATCTTATGAGAAGGAGCGGATTGAAAAACTCAAGAAAGAGACTGAAGATGAAAATCAAGCAATTGTTCGATTGCAATATGAGCTGGAAGTCGAGCGAAAGGCCCTTTCCATGGCCCGGTAAATATGTTTTGCTTGAATTGTTTGATTATCTTACCGTCTTTGTTGCCCCTTCCCATCACTTTCCTCCCCCTACAACTAACACAACACCCCACCCCCCAACAAATAAATTAAAATATTATAAATCCTTTAGCTTTCTGGTTGAATTTCCCATAAAGCTAATGACATTCTATTATCATTTCAGGACATGGGCAGAAGACGAAGCTAGAAGAGTGCAAGAACATGCTAAAGCACTGGAGGAGGCTAGAGACCGCTGGGAGAGGAAAGGCCTCAAAATTATGGTTGATGAGAACCTTCGTGAGGAGGCCTCAGCTGATATTACATGGACCAACGTGGGGAAAAAGCTATCAGTAGAGGAAACCACTGAGAGGGCTGATAATTTATTAGACAAACTCAAGGTTATGGCAGGTGAAGTTGGTGGAAAATCTAAAGAGATAATTAACAACATCATCCAAAGGATTCAGTCGCTAATCTCAGTCATCAAGGAATGGATCTCCGGGGCAGGCAAGCAAACGACAGAATTCAGAGATGTTGCTGTTGCAAAAGTAGGTGGATCTGTACAAGAATTGCAACAAAATGCTGCAGGTTTTGGTACAACTGTGAAGGAAGGAGCTAAGCGCGTTGTTGGAGACTGTAGAGAAGGTGTTGAGAAACTAACACAAAGGTTTAAGACATGATGTCTCCCCTCTATATTGGCTTAGAGACCAACTGATTTTTGGCAAGCTTGGAGTTTTTGTGTAATACTCATATAATTGTTTGTACACTGGAATTTCGCTGGAACTTTCACATTAACTTATGTACACCCCAAATTGTACATGAAAGAGACTATTTGTAATAATGACAGAGATCAGGATACTCGAATAGCAAGATTAACAACATAGCTGATACCAGCATATGTGACTGAATTTGAATAAAAGAAGCTATTCGTAGTATGACCTAGTTTTGTAACTGCGAAAGGCTTTGAATTAGATCAGACACAGAACCATGCATATGATAGACTTCTACAAATTCTCAACTTATTGAATAAAATTTCACTTTTATTGATTCAATAGCTTTGTGTCCGGATAGTTAAATTTTGAATTTTAGGATACACTTTTTTTTACCTAAAAGTCAAATATTAACCCGTATAATTGATACAATCATATTTTATGAGGCATGAAGTAAGATATTTCAACATAATATAGCATTGGTCTATCCGTTGATGTAGTAACATTTCTATAGAAATATAATCCGTATTTGATGACATCCACATTATTTCAATTCATCCGCCACTCATGAATTAATTACAAAGTATATGATGTTAATGATATAATTATTATACTTCGTATTAAATTTGTTTTCCCAGATGAGTATGTGCACTCATGAATTAATTACCTACAATGTAATATCACAAATACTCCTCTGTTGCTCAGCGGAGTCTTAAAAAAATTGAAGTGTTTTACTAAATGAAAATGGATGATGTATATTGCTACCTTAATTTCAAGCAGTCAAGCGCTAGAGCTCTAAGAGGCAAGAAATTGCAAATAAATAAAGAGAAGATACAAAATGAGAGACAATAAGGCATAGTAATAATTTAATATCAAACCTACATTGACCAATGTTACTGTCTCACTGATTACAACTTACAAGCATAAGAAAAAAGTTTAGACTAGTTTCACAATACTGTGATGCAGCATTGCCAAAGCAAAATTGGATGCAAGTAAAACATTTTAAACAGAAGTTACTTCAACTTTTAAGTAATCAAAACATCTTAAGAGTTCCTACAAGATATGGATCACAGAACGTCCGAGCTTCACTTCTTCTTCTCTGTTCCTCCAGCAGATCTATCAAAAGCAGTCCACCAGTTAGAAACATGAAATGGTGAAACTAGATATCAACTAAAGATCGTAGCCTACAAAATTCAGAGACAAAAAGATTAACAAATAACAAACCTCATCTTCCTCAGCACATTGGACATCTCCTCACGCTTCCTCTTTGCCCTCTTGTGGGTACCCAACTTTCTCTTAGCCAATTTCAAAGCACGCTTGTCTTTCCCAACCTTCAAGAGCTCAGTGATTCTCTTTTCATAGGGAGCAAATCCAGCAACTTCCCTAATAATACTCCTCACAAAGAGAACCCTCTTGCTGGTTTTCTGTCAATTGTCATAAACAAAATATAAATGGTATACAGAATCAAATCTCCAAAACCACTTACTTTCAATGTTTGGACTTTTAACAATAAAAAACACAATTGCATTCATTAATAACACTGAAAAATCTACTTTTCAACATAATGAACAGCCTACATTGTCAGCATCGGAATGCAACACGATATTCAAGGTACAATACATACATCTCATTTTGAATTGATTTTAATCAAACGAAAGAAAAAGAGATCAATGTACACCATTACATAACGATAAAGGTCCACTTGTCCCAGAAGCAAAAAACGATAAATTTCAACACGAGTAAACATCGTTTCATGGTGTCAAGACTGCCAACTCATACGCTACTATTCATTCGAACAAACAGGAACTATTTTCATCAAATAAACATGGACTTTTATTACTAGCACTAGATTAGGCCCGTGCGATGCACGGATTAAAAAAATTATTGGAATGAAATATAACTTATTTCTGTTATTTATTTCTCCGAACATATTTATAAATTAGATCATAAAAACATATCTATCATCATAAATTACATAAGTAACAAAATATAAAAATAAAAGCCGACCAATCTGATCTAATCAAATCATATGCATACGAATTTATATGTCATCTAAGAGTTCGAAATAAAAATTAAAAATAATTGTAATTTAAATAAATAGAAGCACCTTTAAAATACAAAACAATAAAAACATTTACCGACAACGTTAATCATTTTTGTATAACAAACATCCATATTATTAGTCCATGACTTCATAGTTAAATTGCTTGCATAATCCTCATTAAGTAAAAAAAAAAAAAAAAAAAAAAAAAACACACACATACACAAAATAACATTAAAACCTTAAAAAGATAAAAATTAAAAAAAGAAAAAAATGACATCATAAGTGTGTTAGGCGGGAAATTTTTTTATGAGAAAGCAACACTTATACAGTTTGGGGAGATGATGATATCAGCAATTACCTGTTTTAGTAATAGTTGATAGATTAAATTTGAATTTAACATGAAGATCAACAATATCCACTTCCTTTAACACACAAAAGTTCTATTAACTAAACCATCTAAAGTTATAAACAACATTGAAAATTAACACAGCTTTAAGCCAAAAAGTACATTACTTTTTGCAATGCTATCATATGCAATCAGCAAATGAGTCCAGCATTCCAAAATAAATCCATCAAAAGCACAAATGAAACTTCAATAGATAGCATTTCTCAGCAATTACTCATTTCATGCAGCTTTAGTCAATCAATGATGTGCATATCTAGGATACGGAATTCAAGCACATGGTAAGTTGTGTGAATAGCTAAGCACCTAAGCCATAGAATTCAAACAAAGTGTAACGTTCTTTCATACGATCAAATCAAACGGTAGACATTCACATATTTCATTAACATTGCCATAAACAAATCAGACAATTTCATATTCATTTTAACAGAAATATGATTCTGCGGTAAGTAATCAGACTCAAAACATCAGAAATTAGTAAGAATAAACAATTTACCCCTGTGCGGTCGGAGGGCCGTGGTGCCAACTCCTTCTTGGTAACAATGTGACCCTTGTTCAAACCTACGAAGAGACCAGTACTCGGCTGTTTTGGAGCCATCTTCTGCTTTCAAATTAATCAAACAAGTAACTATTAAATTCCAGGTATTATACCTTAAAATATACCAAAGAGCAACTAATATTGTCAAATTAAAAGGAAAAAAAAAAAAACTTTCAAAACCACTACATGCAACATTTAGCCCTCTTCTGGGAATAATTAAAATGCACAAAATTAAGAACATATTGAAACATACCCAGCTCGAAGTTAATGATTACTAAAACCTTAAGATCAATTATAATCAATTTCAAGCAACCAACATTTGGTATTTTTAGCACGAATTAATGGGTTTATTGCAAAAACCTAGAAAAAATTTGCAATATCCACATTTACGAAAATAAAACAACCCTAATTCGAGCTCCTCAAACCCTAAACTAGCATTACAGAGTTCAATCGTAAGGTACAGAGCTAAAACATCATACAGACAGATCGATTAAGTGAAATCAAATGCGAATCAAAACGAATAATCGAAGACGAATCAAAGAGGGAAGAGAAGAGGGGCTTACGATTTATGCGACTGGATGAGAAACCCTAAAAACCTTGAATAGCTTCACGGCTCACTAATGTAAAAAATGGGGGTTTTATAGCGTTTATATTGGGGATGTGATTGATTGGGCTTTTTTTTATAAGGTTTGAATTGTTTGCTTTGTTAGAGTAGAGGCCCATATTGTATAAACTACTCCAAATGACCTTAAGGGCCTAAGTTGGTCAATTTGACTATTTTTTTATTTTTTTTTGAGAAAATATGGAAGATTGGTTCTGTCCAACGGCACTGCAAGTGTTAGCCCACAGCTAAGTTTTATTCGTATGTTGAATGTGTTACTGCCCTTATCTAACATAAAAACTCTTAAACTTCCATTTGTTCCACCACTTTAATGCCCCCACTTGGGTCACAAGCTTGCGTTGCTAAGCTCAGCGAATTTGACTAGTTAATTAAACTCAAATTGATTGATTTTAGATATTAGGTTGTTAAAAAAAAAATTGCAATAAAACTTCTCAATCAATGCCTCAAGAAAATTATAAATTAAGATTAGACTTGATATGGATAAGTTGTAGATTGCTAACTGATAATACGCAAATTTTTCTTTCTCATAAGAGATTAATCTTAAGTTTCAGAAGTCTCTACTTACTAGTGATGTGCAATGATGGTGTGTGTGTGTGTGATACATGTTCTCGTGGGGGGGAGGGGTCAATTACTGGTTCAGAGTGTGAGGCATAAGCATGTATGTGCCACTCAATTAATTATGTGCACTTGAAACACACCCCTTTGAATATAAGTTTTGAATCGTAGCCTATAGGCCATTGATAATTTTTGCATAATCAGGTCACACGCTGTATATTTTATTTTCTAGTTGTGAGTTAAAATTATGTGGAGACGTATCAAAACCATAGTGTCACATCAATTGAAAATCTTCAAGATGTTTTTCATATTCAACAAGTATAAGTTTAAGTAGAGTCGTCTTATTAGACTTTGGTAGGGCAAGTCCCTTACATTAGTATGAATAAGTCCTTATAATTATGAATTCAACACTTTATTTAGATTAAAGGGTTTATCTTATTTTATTTTACTACTTCCTCCATCTCAAAATAATTGAAGTTGGACTTTTTTTCGTTATTCATATAATAATTTTGTCTATAATTTTTTACTACTCCCTTGTCCCAAAATAACCAACGCAGTCAAAACTTTGCGCACTTGTTGATGCAATAGTTTAACCTTATTTTTACATGAGTAAATATTAATAAAAATAAAGTTATATTATTAAACTTTATATCAATACATATTTAAAACAATTTTTTTTATTAAAAGATTTTAAAAAAAATGATCAAATATGTTGTTATTATGCTAATAAAAATAAAACTAATGTCAAACCTAATATATGAATAATAATAAAAAATGATAAAATATGTTGTTATTATTATAAATAAAAAACTAATGTCAAACCTAATATGTTGTTTTTATGTTAATAAAATGTGAAAAATGTAGGTGTCACGTGTTTTTTCTGGTTGAAAAAGAAACAACCAAAAGCCAGCTCTCGGAATCGTGTTGCAACGGAGCCGCCGTGCGTGCCACCGGAATGCCAATAATCAAATCACAAAAAATACACCAACCCATCATCAATTTAAACTTTCAAACTCATTTTTTGACAAATTTCCAAATTCTTCGCTGAATCCAGGTACCTCTACCAGTCTACCTTATCTTGATTTAGTTGTACATTCATATTTTTCTCACCTTAGATTGCAATTTTCAAGCAATTTAGAAGTACCTTAATTTTATTTTCAGTGGGTAATTATCTAGAAAAAGCACCTACATTTCCCATAATTTTGGATATTGGGGTTTAATTGTTGATTTGTTACACTTTTGTGGATGACCAAACAATCTTATAGATCAAATTAAATTCCCTTTTTGCAGAATTTTTTTTTCCCCCGCAGATTCCCACTTTTTAACTTGCTTAGTCTGCTGGCAATAGTTTGCTTTCAATACCTTTTTGCTTGGTGGGGTTCTCTGTTTGAAGTTAGAATGCTATGAAAATTGTACCCTTTTGAGCTTTGATCTTGCTTATTTAGTATGGTTTGTAATCTTTTCCAGTTATCTCATTTTGTTGAAGATTAGCTCAAAGCTGAGTTCCTGTACTTGCTCATAAAACCCATGTTCAAAAGATCATGTTTGATGCATATAAGATTTTGGATGCTGCAAATTCCCTAGCAATAACAATCTGACTTATTGGTATATGCTAAGTACTAGAGGAACAACCTTGGACTGTAGAGGACGATGTCGATCCTCTGTGGTTTACCTCTTATTGAGTGTGTATACTGCCTAGGCTGTGCTCGTTGGGCGTGGAAGCGGTGTCTTCACACGGCTGGCCATGATAGTGAGGACTGGGGGATTGCTACTGCTGAGGAATTTGAGCCTGTACCTCGATTGTGTCGGTACATTCTTTCTGTTTACGAAGATGATCTACAAAACCCTCTCTTTGCACCACCTGGAGGTTATGGAATGGACTCAGATTGTTTAGTAACTAAAAGGACATACAAAGATACACAAAAACATGCGCCTCCTTATATAGTGTACCTTGATCATGATCATGCTGATATAGTTCTTGCCTTTAGGGGGTTAAATATGGCTAAGGAGAGTGATTATAAAGTCCTTTTGGATAATAAGTTAGGAAAAAAGAAATTTGATGGAGGTTATGTGCATAATGGTCTATTTAGAGCTGCTGTTTGGGTTTTGGAGAAAGAGGGTGATTTGTTGAGGGAGCTGATAGAAAAGCATCCAGATTATACATTGACTTTTGCTGGCCACTCCCTTGGGTCTGGTGTTGCAACACTTCTGACAATGGTGGCTGTGCATAACCTAGAAAAATTGGGAAATATTGACAGGAAAAAGGTTAGAGGCTATGCTATTGCACCTGCTAGGAGCGTTTCACTAAATCTTGCTGTAAGATATGCAGATGTCATCAACTCCATTGTGCTTCAGGTAAGGAATCCATGCGATCCTTTAGTTGTCAAAATGTTGGAAGATTTGTTATTGAGTGATTTATGTTTACCTAAACATATACATTTTTATCATGCAATCAATTAGCTAAATTTAGTGAACTCGAGAATGAGCTTCCTTATAGGTATTTATAGCAGGTATCACATTATTATAAATCTAAACATGTTACTGTATTTGCCTAATTGCCTTTGTGTGAGAAAAATCTCATGATAACTACTCCTTGGCTCCACAGCGTAATTATGATAGGAGATAGGCACACTATAAGTGGAAACATAATTCAGTACTTTTCTGAGCTCTTTTAAAGCACATTCTAATTATTGTGTAGAAGTTCCTTGAAGTTGATCCTAAATGTATGTGAAATAGTGACGAAATTTCACGTTGGTGAATTGGGTTTTGACTTTTCTTAATCTTCACTTCCTGTATGCTTGTAGGACTCTCAAAAGTATAGAACTAATTTATTTATTTTTTCTTTTTTTTAATAACTTTTAAAATTTTGGGTTTGTGGAAGAGAGTAAGAGGACCTGTTTGTGTACTTTTGTTTCACAATAGACCTTTTTGGGGTCCATTCACGGTGATCAACTCAGGAGTCTTATGGATTATGTGTTGTGTTGTGTCAACCTCCTTGAATATGAGCCAACATGGCTGTTTAATTTGTTGATTGTTCTTGGGTGATATAATCATAGCAATTATGTCAACTAACATGCTTGAGAGGTCAGAACAAAGAGCTAGGTTTCTATAGACTATCACAGTTAATACAGATAATCTGAATATGTGCTACCTGTTAGAACAGGATGAAGCATCAACATGACTGTAGAGATATACTTGTGAGTTGTGACTTAGAGAGGGCATAATGTGTTTGCTGATGAAGGTAATGGGTAACCTATTTCAAGATCTAGGAGATGTTGAGCACGAGAAAGATTTCCCTTGGACTCTTGGAGGCAATCAAGTAATTTATTCAGAAGAAAAGGTTCATTAAATTGAGTCTGCAAAAAAGGAAAAAAAAAAGTTTCTGATGTAATTGGACACCTACACCAATCTTTGATCTTTAAGATGGCTGAGAAAGCCAGAAAGGATGATGGATGAATCTTTGATATTTTTGTTTATTGCTTACTATTCTATGGCGGTGATCTTTTGATAGACTACCTTGTTTCTCTTATCTAGCTTATTTGTGGAGGAAGTCCTTACACGTTAATCCCCCATTCCCTCTTATTTACAACAGGTTTTTTCTCATGATATTCAAACATAAGAAACAGAGATGTTGAAACATGATGTGCATATTCTACTTCTTCTCAATTTCCACAACCCTTTCTTTTCCTTGTATACTACAGACCTCTAACATGCATTTCTGTATAAACCAGGATGACTTTTTGCCAAGGACAGCAACGCCTCTAGAAGACATATTTAAATCACTTTTTTGGTAATTTTTTTCTTAAGTAAAAATTATATGGGCTTAAGTAGCATGATAGATATGTTTATTGGGTTATGTTATTTTCATGCTAGCATACTCCTACTAGAGCAAACATCCTATTGTTTCATTTGTTTGATTCTATGATTGGCAATTTACTTAATGATATTCTGTCACCTTTGTCTCGTAATCTCATTTTATTATCTTTTTCTGTTATTCTTGCTCCACAGTTTACCATGCTTACTATGCTTAAGGTGTATGAGGGATACATGCATATCAGAAGAAAAGAAGCTCAGAGATCCAAGAAGGTTGTATGCACCTGGTCGTCTGTATCACATCGTTGAGAGAAAACTATTCAGGTAGATATCAGAGGCTCCTTATGGACTCGTTACAAGACTGCAATTACTACGAATCTTTCACTGAACTAGTCATCACATTCAAATATTTCATACTTCCTAATTAATATGGCGAAGATTGATTAATATAGTGGAGAACCTTTATTATTTCTCATTGACGAAGTATAACTTTGATTTGGATGATATATAGTGGGATTCTTTTCACTTTCTTTGTTGTATGGCAGATGTGGAAGGTTCCCTCCAGTTGTTAGGACAGCGGTTCCTGTAGATGGAAGGTTTGAGCATATTGTTCTTTCTTGTAATGCAACTTCTGACCATGCTATCATTTGGATAGAAAGGGAAGCAAAAAGGGCATTGGAGGTCAGTCACAATTTCCTTACAGCTT